ATCTCGGGGGGGGGGCTGAGGTGGGGAGCACTGCCTGGGTCTCAGCACAACTCTCTGCTCCCCGCAGGGGAAAGTCGAGGCTGAACTGCACCTTCTGACGGCAGAGGAGGCAGAGAAATCCCCCGCGGGGCTGGCTCGCAACGAGCCTGATCCACTGGAGAAACCCAAGTAAGTAGGAAACCCCGCTCCCCAGCAGGCACCTGGCTTCGGGGAGATGCTGTGGGGTGGTCCGCAGGGAGGGAGCCAGGTATGGGGAGGCGAGGTAGGAATGAGGGTCGTGGGCAGAGCCATCTCTACTGGTTCCCCTCATTGCCTGCTATTCACTGCCCCACTGCTTTTTCTTCCTCTGTTCCTCCTCTGCCTCTCTCCTTGGCTCCATCCCCTTTCCTTGGCCTCCCACCACCTCCTCATCCCCTCCGGTCCTCACCACCAGATTCCAGCTTCGACTGGAATCCTTGCACTCCCTCACGAACCAGCATTACTCCGTCTGGCACATGTCGTGCTGAGTCCCCTTCTGCACTCTCCTGATCCTCCTGGTTGGGCCCTTTCACTCACCCGGGGAAGGGGATCCTGCACCTCCCTCTGCCCACCAGGTCCATCGTTGCCCTGCCTGCCGTGCATCCCTTCTCCATGGCATTAACGACGGGTATTTGCTTCCCCTGCAGCCGCCCGGACACGTCCTTCATCTGGTTCCTGAACCCGCTCAAGTCCATCAAATACCTCATCTGCACGCGCTACAAGTGGCTCATCATCAAAATCGTGCTGGCCCTCTTGCTCCTCATCATGATCGCCCTCTTCCTCTACAGCATGCCAGGCTACATGGTCAAGAAGCTGCTGGGAGCGTGAAGCATGGGAGCCTTTCCCATGTCCCCAGCCCCGTGGCACAACCTTCCCTGGCTCCGTGTCCTTCTCCTCCCCACAGCCTCTCGGTGGACGTCTCCTCCCTGCTGCTGCTGAGCCTCCTCTTCTGCATTCCTCCTCTCTGGGTCCCGTTTGTGGCTTTAGTCCTGGAGAAATGGGGCTGGAGGATGGTGTCGACCTCACCGGGGCTGGTGGAGGTGCCCAGCTGGCCCAGGGCTGGGGACCTTGGAGCCCTTTGCCCCCCGGGGCCATGGCCGATGCCCTCCCGGGGAGCTCAGCCCCAGGAAGGGGAGGGAGAGCTGGGGCTGCATCGCTGGAGCTGTGGGAATCGCTCCCGAAAGGCTCGTTGGAAGGATATTCAGAAGCAGGGATGGAGTAGGGACCTGGGACAGCTGGGGACACGCCAGCCC